TATTCTATCGTAAATCATAAACACACTTAATTACATTAAGCTTAATATGTAACATTATACGAGGAAAATTTTAATTAGAATGGGTACTGTAAGTGGCCATTAAACGTAATGATGATGCTCATAATTGGATCATGATTGATACATTCAGCTCTATTGATTTTTAATTTTATTCCTTGCTGCTCACTGTATTCTTTGGGGTGTGTCTATCCTGCAATCACAACAACCGGAAATATCTATCCTATTTTTGTTCATAACATTTTTATTTATTTATTTATTAATGAATAACTGTAGTAGTTTATTATTACTTCTCTTTATTTAGTATAAATAAAATCAATTGTTTTTTACTTGTATTTTTCCAAACTTTTCTCGATTGCTAAAAATAAAAATAAAATTATTAATATCGAGAGCCATCAAAATAAATCAATAAACAAGACACCGAGTGTCCTTTTTCGAATCAACTTACTCAATATCCGGTTCACTAACAAACTAAGTAAATAAACTAAACAAATAAAATCAAAAAACTAAAATGAGTTACTTTCTTCTATATCCAGTCTTATTTTCTTCTCAGTAAGGTTATGTATCATCAGTAGAGATAGTTTGATCAATTAGTTTGTCTTCACTGAAGTCTTTAGAAGTGCACTGTATTACGTTATTGCTATCAATTGATGATTCTTGAAGACTAACTTGATTAGATTCATATGTAACCGTAAAAAATTGTTCATCATTAATTAAATTATTTTGTTCACAGTTTATCACATTAAAATGATTGTCTAAGACAGTAACGGATTGTTATACGTCTTCAATAATTCAGTTTTTGTCACATGTGACCCTATTACTGCTCTGTACAACACCCACTGAACAATAACATCCTCTTCTTTTAAAGATAACACTGTCACTGGCCCAGTTCTAATTTTTGCCTTCTTAGGACTAATACTTTTTCATTTAGCAAGGGTAACAATCGGTACTCCATAAACAGCAGCTGCTTTTCTCAAGGACAACTCTGTGTCTTCCATTGCTTTTAGAGCTTTTTTTATATTTCACGAATTATAATTACTTAATCCTTTTAATTTTTTTTTCCTTCATTTTATTATTCATATTGGAACACAACACTTTTTTTTTTTTTGGTTGAATTTGATGATTGAGTTTTTGTCACTTTGGAATTTTGTTTATGCTTCATTATCTCAGCTTTTTTTTATAATTTACTTTTTACTTACTCTGAAATAATAAGAAATAAATAATATATTTTCAGAATCAATATACAAAAAAATATTATAAATTTATCCAAAAGATTTAATTAAAAAACAGAAAAACTTGTTGACAAAGTTATTCTATGTTATGATTTGAGGTTAGGCTCATGATCTAAAACTATTTGACTTAAAATACTTACTTTTAGAAAAATATTTGAGGTTTAATAGTAGCCAATATTTTATAACATATAATTATACTATTTTTATAATTAATATCACATATTAGCAATATAAAATCTTATAAATGTACACTGTCTCACTTAATCGGGAGAAGCCGAAAAACATATGTCCGTATTACACTATACACCGAGAAAAGTGTCTCATAAACCGGGGCATTCACGTAAATAAGTGTAGGTATTGTGAGACACTCATATTTAAAATATTGTAATAAAAAAAACGCATAAATGTGTATAGAAATAAAGTTTATTACTCATCAGCTTTCAATTGATATACAATTTAATATAAAAGTAGAAGACACAATGAAATTACACTAATATAAAAAACTAGGTAGCCGTTGTCGTTTTACTATTCTCGGTCGTGGCTTTGAGCACAGATAACAAACCTCGCACTTTAATAAATATTTTTAAAAAACAGTATGGAATCAATTAACAACCAAAGTCGAAAATTGCTTTTGGAATAGATGAAATAATATATTTATTATACTTTTGGTATGCTAGCGGTGTGTTTTTTTTTATAAAATAGTATTTTTATGTAGTGTATCATAAATGGGGACATCGTCTCATAATAGGGACTTTTACCTTATTAGTTTTTTTTACTGATGACGCATTTACGTTGTCTGGACGACACGAAGGACTAACTAAACAAAAGCTAGCTATTCCGATCATCGAATAAATGGATGGATTGAAGAAAAAAAATATTTATTTTTTTACATCATACTTTTCTTTGTCTATCTATTTGTGATTGAACACGCGTCTCAATAGCCAACGAAATCTCTTCCGGTGCAATATTAATACAATAGTTTAATGGTTAAATTGTCCATTTTATTTCCATTTTTTTTTTTTTTCATTATTTTGTGTATTCAATGTTTTCTTCATTTCTTCTGTAATAATCAGTAAATAACAAAGATACGATCATTACTATAATTTTAAGATATCACAAAATCGAAAGTGTTTTTTAATTTGTATATTAAAATCTTAATTTAGAAAATTGTTTGAACAAAAAAATTAAGTGCTTGGCTTTAACATTTTATATAAATCGGAAAAGAAGAAACTAAAAATGAACACTTTGGCTGCCCAATTTCAAAACACAGTAACTAACATTTCAAAATTTTTTCCAATTTTTCTTATTAAAAAAAAGTTTACCCGCCAAATTGATGAAAAATTTGAGTTATGAATAGAAAATACTTGAATATAAATATTTTAAAGAAAAAATACTTGAAATTGAGGTCTAAAAGTTATAAAAAATGCAGCAGTACTAAAAAAAAATCAGGTATAAAAATTTTACAGTTACTGTGTTTTAAAATTGGGCAGCCGACTTGTTTATTGATTTGTTTACTTATTATGTTATTGATCGTCATCATAATTATCTACAATAATATTCTAATGTTATTTTTAATTTACATTAATCAATAAACTTCATTTAATTTTTTGCTCAGTATTGCTATTTAATTTAACTCGTTCCGGTCTTACAAACGATCGAGACTCGCGAGTCGCGCGAGGACAGTGGCCGTGACCCAAGCGTGGGGCTCTTAGAGAAGGGGTCGGTGGCCCCGTATGCCAGGAGTGTTTAGAGTTGAGACAAGAACAGCCGTCAAAAAAGAGCGGGAAAATGTATTAGAGAGAGAAAGAGAAGGGTAAATGTTATTCGGTGATGTTCGGTAACCTGTAGTAGGGATATCGGATAAACTCGGATATATTTATATATATATGATAGTTTCTCGCGCTGTGAGGCCAACTTTATTGCTACCCATGCGTATATGGTACATTGTACACTCATACACGTATTATAAGTTAACACAATACAACACGTATATATGAAGTCATATTATTCTATCTTCTTCTATATTTATATTCACGCTCTGCTTATAGATATATGTATACACATATACTCATAACAACTGCTACTATCGATAGATACTATGCTAAGCTGTCACGGCAAAGAGTAACTCCTATCCCCAGTATGTATCCGGTATTACGCGGTCGATAAGTGTGCCTGCTGCTATAATATAAACTCTGAGGCGTTTTATCTATTAAGCACACGTGAAAATCATTGTCAATTTACCGCACGGACGAATCTAAAATTCATAGAATTGTTTAATTATCCACATTAAACGTTATTACTTACACCTTTAGCAACCACTAATCACCGGAACTATTTTTAGTTATTTCTGTATTGATTTATTAAGCAAAAAAAAAAAACCGATTATTCGATGCTTCTAGAGTTTAACTAGTTTAATTTTTTATTTTGAAAGTTGACCACTAATTTATCCAATTAATTATTATCAGACTAAATATTCTTTCATTTAAAAATAGATTAGTATTTGTTATCTATTACTAGAATTTATAATTAACTTTTTCCAAGTATAAAAGCGATTTAAAAAAAATTGACCTTTTTTTGACAGTGTTTTTCATTTATTAATTTTGAAATATTTTCATCGAATTGGAAAAGTTAATTAAATCAAAGGACTGATTGTAACTAAATCAATGTACTTGTCATTTCAACGAGGCAGAGTTTTTAATTAAGAATTTAACTTTATTCATTTTCACTGGGAATTAAGAATTTAATTAATTTTAGTAAATACATGTTATTTTACATTCCTTCATTTGAATTTATATTTAATATACCTTTACTTATGTAGTTATTCTAAAATATTTACAAATAAAAATTAATTTACTGTAACTTATTCAAGAATACTTCAAATTATAATTTGAACGTGAAATTTACTTTATCTTTAGCTATAAAAAATCAGAACATTTTTTTGTAAATTTATTTTTTCAATATTCTATATTTTTGCTCATTTAAAATTGTATTGTGATTAGCAAAACTCCAAATTTGGATTAATAAATTCGACTTGTAAGTTTCAAATCTAGAAATTTGAGTGTATTTTAAATATATTTCTTACGAAACAATTTTCTTTGATTAATTATGTACTTAGTTCTTGATTAACAAATTTTACTTCTTTTGAATTAATTTTTATTTATCCCCAATAAGTTTGTCGTAAATCGAGAATATGAATTTTTTGTGTGTAACAAAATTTTCTTCAATTTTCCATTAGTATAATTGTAATATGATTATAATCTTTTGATTCTATTGAATTTTTTAAAATTTAAATACTATATAACAAAATTAGCTTTTAATTTTACTTAGCATGTCATCTAATAATAAACCTAGCTCAAAAATATTTTTAACGTGGCTGCAATATTTCTAAATGAATAAAAATTTCTAATAAAAAGTGAGCGACTTAAAAAATTAATCCGCTTACGTTTCACTATTAATAGTACTGTCCTATAGAGTTGATAGATAAAAAATAAAAATGAAAAAAAATCATAATTTTTTTCAATATTTTAGAAAAATATTTATGACCTTATTTTATTACTTGTAATTTGTTGGAATCTACTAGAGATCTAAGCTTTTCTTCTTTCTTTTTTTATTATTATATTTTCAGTCCAAATTCTAGCCCGTGAAACACCCACTTCCCTACCCTGATTTAATATCACGTAAATTCTTAGAATTTATATTTTTTTTCAACCCCCAGGTTTCACATCTATAAACCCTCCCCTTTAAAAGAAAAACATGGGTATCAGGGATGTATCTAATTGGCCTGAATATGTCTTTCTGGTATTGTTTCAATTATTTATTTACCATCTTAATCCAATAAAAAGTGATGTAGAGTGTAACGAATAATAGCATTAAAGAACGCTATTTTTTTATTCGACGATTACATATTTATTTATTGTATGTAACATTGTTAATAATTTAAATAATTGCAAGTATATTATTAAAATAAGCACTGAAGCACGCGCAGACGTAGATTGAAAGTTCGTTGAACTAGTGAGGGAAATAACGGTAGAGGGGTAGTGGGTGGAGGGTTGAAAGTTCGAGGTCTCTCCACGACAAGATTCCCGCGACCTCAATGCGCCGCTTAAAAACGTGAGAATTGTATAAATCCCATTGAACTGGCCGATTGATTGATTAATTAATAAATTTATTAGACATTATATCGATCAAGGGTTATTGATCTTGATCGTTTTTATTGATCCTAAATAGGCTAAACTATAACATTATAATTAGATCAATAAGATGATAATGTTTATCACAGTATTTCCTTAATTTTCTGTTGTGATTATTGCTTATATTGAAACTTGCATTTATATAAAAAAAAAAATTATATAAAATTCAATAGATAGAGTTAATATGTTAAATATTGCCCTGTAAATTACCGTACATTGTATACTTGAGCACGCGCGTTTTTAATAGAACGACACAAAAAGTCTTGAGATTAGCAAGTCTAAAAGACGTTAGCGTTTAAAGAACTAAAAAAATGCGACCGAAGCAATTATCCACAAAAGTAAACCGCAACGTTATCATTTAATCTTTGAAAAGTGTTTTAAAATATTGACCTTTTGTATTATTAAAATTTTTTTATTGAAAGGTATTATTTGTTTGATGAAAATATTTAAAAATAATTAGCAATCTGGTGGCTTGAAAGTTTTTGTTTATTTTATTTATTTCAATGCATAATAGAATATAAATTTAAACAATGAGATTTGATATTATATGTAACATTTTTATTTTAATAACAGATCGCACCCTCGGCAAAAAAACTCTGGGGCGTTGACGAAGGTGGCTCCAAGGATGAAGGAGGTGTCAAAGGTGGCGGGATACTTCATCTGGGTGATCATCATCAAATGTGGCGAGATTCAACTTGGAGCACGCCAGGTATTTAAATTATTTATCTGCTCATTATTTTTCTTAATTAAGCGCAGTTCATAATATTTTTTCTTAATTACTAAAGTTTTAATGCCTAAGAATCTTATTACTTCGTTGAGAATTCACGGAAATTATTTTTTGATAAATCAATCCGTAATTAATTAAAAGTGAATAATATTAAAGATTCGTCAGTACTGACATTTATTTACTTTTTTATGATATAAATATGATGTGATGGGTGCAACGCGACTGTTACTATGGCGACAGACACCCGGCATTGGTTGTCTGGTGGGGGCAACGTCCCAATGTCCAGGATCGTACCTATTCATCAACCCTTAATGATACAAGCCTTTAAATTATCTTCTTTAATCAGTGTCTAATCACATGAGCCACTATAATTTATCAAAAAGATTTTCATTTCAACGAAATACTAAGATACTTGAGTAAAAAAATTCAATTTGTAAATGAACACTTTTCTTTTATATTCTATTGAATTTCATATATAAATAATTTGGCGGTTTGCTGTTGATTGTTTGTTTATTAATAATATATGTTATTATTTTATAGATCATGCAGTATCACAGCCAATTTCGATGGCAACCGGAAGGCGAGTTAGTGTGGGAACCGGTTATCATCATCAAACATCAGAAGTTGGAGCTGTACTTAGCCCGAGAAGCAGGTAAACTATCAATTATAATAGATTGCATATTAATTGAAAATATTTTAAATTAAATAACTGATAATGAATTTATAACTATATTGCAGTGAAACGGGTGGTCTTGGTGTCAAAATGGTTGAATATGTTCTTGGATCTAGTCCAACTACACCAAAGGATTTGGAATCCCGAATGAGTGCACTCAGATTGGTAATTATTATTTACTACTCAACAATTTATCTCTGACAATACCGAGTGTTTTATACTTATAATACTAATATCTTATTATAATTTTTTAGAACGCAGATAATGACAAAAAAGATAAAGATAAAGGATCAGCTAGTCCTTTTGATGGCTCTAAAGATGATAATGTTCCACAGGGAAATGGGCTTGTTTCACAAAACGGTCTTGATGATGATAAAGGGTTTAAGTAAGTTGACAGTTCTTATTTTTTTCTTAGTAAGATTAATTTTCAAATTATCAAAGAGTTTTTTTTTTTTCAATTTTTAATTTGAAATGCATTTGAAATTATTGAAATAAGAACAATTAATAAATATTCTGAAACTGTATTATAGATACATATGCAAGATAGATGTGGATTAAATTAATTGGTTCTAGACCATCTTTTTAGATATTAAAATATTTGTATCTAAAAGTAAATGTTTTATTTCTCATGGCAACAAGTTGTTTCTTTACATTATCTTTACGATTATTTCTTAGTATTAAGCTTAATCTTTTATTAAATATTTACCTGTACTGACATTGTAAATAGTTAAAATGTTACTTTGACTTACTGCTTTGTTTGCGCGGCTATTAAAGCATTAAGTTTTAAATACAATTTATAATTTTCAAGTTGCAATAATTTTAAATAATCTATTTTACTTGTAAATACAATAAAATAGAAAAACAAACATTTATAAAACTTTTGAAAAGGTAGAAAATATTGTACAGTTTTCTACCTTTACTACAACCAGAACACTAGATGTCGCATCAAGTTAAAATAAGAATTCAAGTTATAAGTATTCTACCATTTATAAAAATAACATTTCAAATGCAGGTTAAAAAAAAAACTTTTACAAGTAATAAATAAATTTAAAAAAAAAAATATTGATAATTAATTTATAATTTTTTAGTCGAACTCCCGGAAGTAGACAACCATCACCAGGTGAAGAAGAATTTCAAAAGAATGCTGCAGCAACACTAGCCGTGAGTGCAGGTGGTGGTGTTGTTTTATTGAAACCAGGTGTTGATGTTGTTGGTAGCGAAGAACACTTTATGGCAGCATTTGCACCCGCACCACCACATCATCTTCAACATCATCAAGCACCGCCAACTCATCATCTCCAACATCCTCATTCACACGCAGCCCAGCTTTTTGGTGCACAAGGGCCTTTACCTCCCCAAGGACCGCCTCCAAATCAACAGCAACAACAACAAGGTCCTCCACAGCCACAAGATACAACAACACACTTTGATGTTCAGGTAATTTTTTATTTATATTTTTATCAATCATGGAAAAAATTACATTAATATTTTAAAATTTTCGTGATTGTTTATGTTATTGTTATTTTATTGTTCCACATACGTTTTTTGTTACTATTTTTTTTAATCTTTCATTCAATAGATCATCTGTTTAGAATCTTGTTAAACATGTCGGATGCTTTTAAACATAGACAGCGTTGTGGTAGCTTTAACGTCTTCGCGTTGGCAGATATACATAAATCATTCACTGACAGCTTGCCACCTACTTTCAATACTCGACGAAAAATAGAACTGAGCTAAAAGCTCAAATTTGTAGCCGGAATACTCCATTCGTTATGTCATTTCGGGTGTAATTAGGGAGAGACAACCTTTTCTACATCCAATTAAAATGAATGAAATTCACAAAATAATTACATTAGTAGAATCATTTTATATTTTCCGCTAATTAGCTTTAATAAATTTTAAAAAGTTTATTAAACTCGAGAATTTAATTCAACTTTTTATGAAAAAAGTCTGTTAATGGAGTTGTTATTTATTTAAAAAGAGATGACATTAAAAAAGACGGTAGTGTTTGTACATAATAAAGTATAAATTTAGAAAACGTTTTTAAAAGTCAGTTCAGTATTTAATAGACAGTGTATAATAATATTACTCAGGTCATTAAACACAGCCACTCAATAAGTACCATCTTATCTTTCTTTTTAAGTTCTCATACAAAGAGTTTTTATTTCGTCATAGATATTTAATAACTTTTTGGTAGTTAAAAAAACTCGCTCATGATTTTATTCTCTGTGTGTGTATATCTTATATCTTTTTTTTTTTTAGTGCCTACTTCCTGTTGCATTAAAAATACACAAATGGTGCCATAATTCTTCGTTATTTTTATCTTCTCACCAAAATTATATAACAAATACACGCACATTTATTATTTTTTGTTTTTTCAAAGAAATGACAAATATTTATTTTAAACTAAAACTTAAATTATAAAATTGATCAATTATTTTTTATAGTATATAATTGCTATGGTTAATATGATTAGAAAAGTAGATGAAATTTTAAGTAAAGTAATTATCAAAATATTACAACTTATTAAGGGGTGAAAAAATGAAAAAGTAATATTCACTGTAATTAATGTTGACATTGACACAATAAAAATAGGATCGTTTGATGTTATGAAAACAAGTGTGGGTATAGGATTATTCACTGGTAGTAACTCGTGCTTAGCGGAGCATGAAGTAATTTCTTTCTCACTCTCTCATCTTTCTCTGGCTGGTTCCTGTCTCGCAATGCTCTGTACGGCATTTCGTCGTGTAACACGCTGTGAGGAATACGCCAAAGGAAGAATTGAACATACGCAGGTACAAATACAACATACATGTACATGTATGTATATGGAAGATTGAGGTTGTTGACTTGTTGCCCATTCAGCATAAAGTGCAATGACTTTCTACGATGAAAATCTGTACCAAGACGACTAGCGTGTAAACTTCTCTCCCATGCTCCAAGAATTTTCTCCCTTCTACTGTCTTGAATTTCCGGTCAAGAAATCTCAACGTGAAATCACCGAGTCGTCTATTCACTCACTTCGTCCTTACTTCTGTAAGATACTCCCGATTTTCTATTTGTCTATTTTTATCTCTCCTTTCGACTTTATTATTATTTTTTATTAAAATATAAATGTACCGAAAAAATATGTTTTAGTGTGTGGTTCTTCTCAAATGGAACTCTCACAACATACTTGGCATTGTGTCTCTTGTCAGTTAAGGTGAGACTTGTCACTCACTCGTGAGTTATTTTTGGTTCAGCTTTACGTAACCTATAGGATGTAGGATGAACAAAATTTCTTCTATTCATATTTATTCGACACATTTTGCCAATCGTTTTTGTTTCTCTTCTATTATTACTTTTTCTTCGAAGAACAATTTTTACTTAATTATTTTTTTGTCTTCTCTAAAATATTTAACCACAATAATTTGTGTAAAAGATTAATTATTTTCTGCAAATTCGACTAATTTTCGACGGTAAAACAAATTACCACAGGAGATACACTTTCTTGAGCATTAAAATTAAATGTAAGAAAAAAATAATAGCGTTTAAATGGTCTCATTAACAGTATTAGACCCAACACACATTAAATTTTTTTGAAGGCCATCGCTGAAATGTTTTAGCTTCACGAAAATCGTTTGTCGCGCCAGACATGCTATCAATTTTACTTCACGACAGCCTTAATAAACCAAGTAGAAATGTCTTAACCATACACATGCACACATATATTTTTATAAATTTAGGTATATAATCTCAAAAGAGGAAAATTTTGGTTATTTCATCTATTACAAAAAAATTGCTTTATTAATATTTTCAAAATTTATCAAACAATCTCAGTAAAGTAAAGAATGAATAGTGTAACAAAAAAAAAAAAGGTAAATACGGATATAAACCTTTTTAGGCGTAGGGACGTGTGCACTGTGTATGAATTACCAAGGGTTTTATATTTTCTCTTCAACCACCTAATTCACCTTTTGCCGAGAGGCCGCCGGCCTAATTCAACCTGCTCGATTTCCCTTGAGATAGTAGAAACAAGATTTCTTTTTTATTCACCATGAGGATGCCTTCAATTTTTCTTTTAAAGAGATCACACCCACTTAATTAAAATCATTACCTTCACTTATTTAATATTCTTTTTTATTTCACAAGAAGATAAATTTAAATTACTTTATCTGAAAGCTTAAAAATTAATTAAAATTTGTTTAATTTACTTTAATTGCCCTAATTAGTTGTATATATTGAAGCTCATATCATTGATAATTGCAATATTATTATACTTCTCATTTGCACACTATTGCTTTTTTTTTTTTTTTTTTTTTATTATGTATTTATATAAATTTTTTTCTACTTTATGATACTTGTGTCGTGTGAGGTTGTAATTAAAACGTGAATTACCACAGAGTCAAATCTAGGCTAGGAAGTACTCTTTTCCTTCTTGTATATTCTTTCATTCTTAACCCTTTAGAATTTTATGATCTTCTCTTATTCTTTATCCTTCTTCTTTTTCTTTAATGTTTGAATCTCGCTGACAAACTGACGAGTATAAACTACAAAGCAAACGGCAGAGTCGTGACTAAGTACATAGTTCTAGTTTTAATGGTGCTCAAACACATCCCTATCTTATTTTTAAATTAAAAAAAAAAATTATTTTTGTTGTATCATTTTCATTTTTATATTTTATTCTAATTATTAGTCTTCATTGCACTAGTAATTTTTGCTACTCTTGCTCGAGTTATTTTTACATTTTTTTTAATTAACATAAAATTAACATCAAACAATCTGCTCATTTGATTGATATTTTATTCTATTTATAGTCCATCGATATATTAATGCCCTAGGTTAGCAAAATTATAAAAGTAATAAATGATTCACCTTCTAAAACACTAATGAATATTAAATGAGACAGAAATACAATCAAATAGAATTGCAAATAAACATGTATGTCGTTACTCTTGACTGTGATTAATAACATGTTTCATTTGGATGTAAACGAGAGTTGCATTTTGTGTCAATAAATGTATGCACATATAGATATATTTAACCTAGACATAAACATATAAACAAACGTGTATGAACTAAGGGATATTTTCATATTCTTTTTCAATACTAACTTATTTTTTTCTTCTGTCATATAGAGTATATTATTTATACACTTGAGTATATGTGAGATTATTTATCACGAGGTCGCGGTATAAGTGTACATACTCGGTATATTTATACATATATGGTAACAGTACTAGTATACGTATGTATCCATACATACATATAAATTTTTTTCTATTATAATGAGAGATTCTAGGGTGCGAGAGAGCCAGCAGTGGCGGCGCTCTCGTGTCTCACGTGGGGTTGCTAAAGTAGGAGGTATATCGTAAGGGAGGAGTTACGGTGTGCAACACGCTACCTTGCGTGCTCGTCCATCCCTCGGAATTCTGGGGTTCTCAACCACTCCAATTATTATACTTTACTTTGGTTTTACTATTAGTGTCACTAACAATATCCAATCACACTCAAATATACATACTCAATTCTCTCATTAAAGTTATTCACTGCCTTCTTTTTGTTTTTTCTTCTATTGAGGATTGAAAAAAATTGAATTCTCGTTTATTTAAGAATTATTATTTTTTTATTTAAAAAAATATTTTTTATTTTTTTTTAATACAATAATTTATTAAAGATATTTTTTATTAATTAGATACTTAAATAAAATCATTGTGCTAAAAATTGTATCAATAATAAAGTTAAAAATAATAATATTGATTTTTTCCCTTTGATAAAATTATACGCTTTATAAAGTATCGACATTTCTATTTTTAATTTTTTCTATTTGCTATGATAATTTTATTAATTACTCAACAACTTTAAAAAATTATTATTAATTAAGTCAACATCGCTGACGTAAAAACAAACTGAAGAAGTCGTAGTTGAATTGAGTGCAAACTGAGAGAAAAAATTAGAAGCGATATGCGAGCCGGCAATGAAAGTTTTCTGGATGTAAATAATACAAGCCAAGTTTAGCAGTCTTTCACGCATTTTTTATTTTTTCCATCCCCCGTGCTTTGCAAAGGGTTCTCGGCTCAGTCCCAACATAAAATAGTATAGTAGGAGAAAGGGTAGCCTCGAGCTTAAACAATAGATTGTTGGCCACGGGCGACAACCCAAGTGTACTGAGAAAAAGAGAGTAAAAGAGAAACGAAAAAAATGGTGGTGTACTTGCTTATTCTCCCTTTTATATTTTTCATTCTCGAGATTTTGCACGACTTTCGCGCCCTCTCGTTCGTTTATAAGGACACTCGAGGTAGCGCTGTGCATACGTTAAAGTAAACCACGACCAATTAAATCTCGACAAATTTTTTTTCAGCTTTTCCATTTCCGTTTATTATTTTTATGTTTTATTTATTGCATTTCTTTTTTTTTCAAAAAATGAAAAAAGCTTTGTAATATTTTTTTTTAACATATGCAAAAGTACGCTTTGCAGTCATGATTTAGTTAGTAGAATATTTCGTTGAAATTTTTTTATAGCTATGATATTTTATTTATATATATACATACATGTTATTTTAAATTTCAATAACGGCTGCAAAAAAATCATCTTTTTTTCGATGCAAAATTCACACGTCAATTGATTTTACATTGTTTTTATTTAAAGCACTACAGTTTAACCGTACTACTGAAATTTCGGCAAAAGATTGTTTTCATTGCGAACGATTGAATCTTATAAGAATAATGCAGGAGATTTTTTACACTCCAATGCACAACATACTAAGATTTCAATTCTGAGTGCATCATCACACTTAAAGTTTTTTTTTTTTTTTTTAAAGAATACAAAAATATAACTTTTATGTCATTATGATAATTTTTTTCTTTTTTAAAGGAAAATATTAACTTTTATGTAAAATTTAATTTAAATATAAAATGAGACTCAATTTAAAAAAAATATTCTTTAAAATCCTATTGATCTAACACTGAGATATTTCTTTTGTAAAAATTTAAAAATATTTATAAACTAATTAAATTTTATATTATTAAATTTTCAAGATCTTCCAGTTTCATAACTGAATTTCAATAAAGTAAATTGAATGAATAAAATCCAATATTCTCAAATTTTTTATTGAATTTTCAAAGTTATTCTTAAGTAAACGTGTTTATATATTAATAAAATCATTAAAGTCGTTTTTCACTTATAAACATATATTATAAAAATTCTTTTCCCTCAAAAGATTAGTTTGGATTTTTAATTTAGAATCATCATAAAAAATTTCTCAAACTAATCGTAATTTAAAACTGACTAACGTTTATACTCGAATTACTTATAAAAAGCAAGAAACCTGACATGATAACGAGATACTCTAGTGAAACATTTTTTAAAGAAA